AGTAGCTATATCTTTTCTTCGAATCCACTTCCATTTGTGGACAACAACTCACAACTCGCAGACACATACTTGGACGCACTGTACTTCTATACGAGCTCCTGCACGAGTGCTCGGCTTTAGTTCTTTTACATACAGCAAGTAGTATGGTATATTATATATAAATTTATATTCCATTTGTGACAATATGCGTGACTCCGTACAAGTATCTTGTACTTTTCTCTTTAAGTTGCTGTCAGCACGTATTTCTGACGAACTTCTGTACCGCAAAGCGATTTTTTTCGTTGCCACCAGCAGCACCTATTGGCTACATCACACTGTTCATGACTCGCACTTCGACAAATTTTTTCTCAAGATTTCGCTCACAGGGCCTTGATTGTTGTCGGGTTGATAATAATACCGATTTCTCCAATGCGTAAAATAGTTTCGATTCTATGGTTCAAAGTAAAATTCTTAATAACTAGTTATCAATTTTTCGCAAACAATCTAATAATAAAAAATAAAGTTAATCCCTTACTTATGAATTGAAAAAATACAACTCACGGCTTGAGCTGCAAAAGCCTGAGTGATGATTGTTACAAATTTAAGTTAACTACGATTATGTAATAATAAAATTCATAATACTTGCCACTTGGAAATTTTGTTTATTAGTCCGTGCAAACGTTATAGTGAATGCACAAAACTTTTCTAACAAAGTAATCGTTGTCGTAACGCTAAATTTGCATCACGGTGGAAATGTCACATGGCACTATATATTTCCAAGCTCTGCCGTCAATAGTTTCTTTTTCCGCAAGGTAGCATGCAACCCCTCTGTCGCAAGGTAACAGACAAATTTCACGCTCTTACACGTTTATTTGCATTTCAATTCCAGTTGAAAAATGCTCATCGTTGAGGGCAAAAAAAAATCACTAGATGCTAAATCGTCGTTACGCCCAGTGAATAAGTATCTTACGCGTAAGCCCGTTTATATTCCGTATCGAGCATTTCAAGTACAGTCTCGTGGGTTTTCAATAAACGTACACTTTTCAAATCTTAAGTTTAGACGATTAAATTCACGATTTGCCGTAAATTTTCTTACTTATAATTTATTTTATACGACTGTACAGAGATAATGAATTGAATCAGAAAACTAAGAATTCAAAACATATGAAATTACTAATTAGTAGATACTTGTTGGAGTGAAGATTACTCCGGCATGCAATAAGTACTAATTAAATGAATTAATTGTGTTGACAGATGCAAGGAAGAAGTCAGAGAATAGTAACAACAACATAAAAAATGAATCCATGTTTGATACATGCAAAAATAAATTCGCATGACGTTCGAAAAATATTCGACATAGTTTTCTCCCTTTCTCTTTTTTCTCTTGTTTTCTTTCGCTCCGTCTCTCTTTCCTTATTCTCCGTTCTGTTGCCGAAGCTGTATCGACGATTAATCTTCATTTGTTAGTCTCAAATCGACGAACGTAATAAAATTGAACCTATTAATCAGTCGGATTTCGGGGAGTCAAGCGTGACGCCGATCGTCGCCGTCGAAATGCCGTTAATATATACGCTTGTATTTTTACATGTAAGTATATAACACGTCTACGTTAAAAAAACGTCAATTGCCTCCCGTCTTGCCGATAATACTTTCATCACATGTATATTTATATACAGAGACAGCCGAACGATTGCGCGGTGGTGTCCTGCTTTACGAGCTGTGCAGCGAGAAAAACGTTTAGGTTTGTCTGCAAATTAACTGATGTAGCTTTTTACGCATGCAGATTTACGAACTTCACGATAGCTTGGAGTCTTCAGTCTCTTATTCATTCTGTGTACTGAATAACGCACCAAACTGTAGTAGCGTTCAGAAACAGCATATTTTCCCACGCACCCCTCAATGAGTTCGAAGAGTACTCATTAGTTTGCATGATTAGCATGGATTGTATAAGAATTGAACTTCTTGTCTGGCGTAGAGCTATTTTAATAAGCGACGTCAGGTGTATTTTATATTTGTCACTCAGCGGTCGCTGCATCGGTATTGGAAAGCTTAAAACTGCGGCGTAGGGGGTGTAAAACAGTTAACCGCAATTGTTACCAGACAATATACATACAGCTACACACAACAATCGCGTTTACATATGCGCCGCCCGTCGAGATTTACCGCATGTTTTTTTCCACAAATCGCATCCACGCGACGAAAATGGGTGGCTCGGCGTAACTGGGGACACGAAGAAGAGAAGCGCGCACACGCACGCACCAAGTCGCGTGTGTGAAAGTACATATTACGGCGGCGTAAGCGCGCGTCGATGCCTGCATATATAGGGAAGCCCGGACATTTGGCGCAGCCGGCGTTCGAGTCAAAGTTGAACTTTACACCGTGCTAGGCTGCGTCGACTGCCGTGCGCGCGCGCGAGTAAATACGTGATCGCGCCCGAGAGCGCCATGTGTGATGCAAAGCGCGTACACCACGTATTATGAGTACTTGTAAAGCACGTAATCGCAAACGTGCGCGAGTCGCTTGCCGCAGTGCTATCCCTCATTTTTTCCCATGCAGCCTGCTCTTCCATGTAGCTTACTCTTGCGTCGTTTTATCGTTAAATCCATTTTCAGCGAGTATGCTTTTTCTTCTTTTGATTACTACGACACGACCGATTCAAAAATCAAAGAAAAACAATAATAAAGGCGTTCATCCTGAAATTGTTTTCAACGATTTAGTTACTAACTTTAATGCAGGTAAAAACGCTCACGTTCTCAAAGTCGGGAGCTCCAAATATTCGTCTGCGATTCCAATTGAATGTTGCGTACATCGCGCCCCGTTGACCGAACCCATATATGGTTTTTCAAGGCATTGTCTTGCCTAAACGCAATATGAGCCGAACGCGTGGCACGCCCGTATTCGTCCGTGCAGATATGCCGAAGAGTTTCGCTCGGTCTTTATTGCTGCCCGCGCTCGTGCTACATTGATTTAATACCCTAGTAATTGGGCCGAGTGCCCGCGCGGCAAGGCTACCCGGCAGTTGGCTGGTCGAGGCGTCGCAGCGCAGCAACAGCAGCGGCCAACGGTGTATTTTACTCGCGAATCGCAGTTCCGCAGCGCACCAGATGTCCGCGGGCGCCAAGGAAGTTTATTGCTGAGCTTTATTGCCGCCTAAGAGTGACTAGTCGCGTCGTCGTAGCGTCGACGTCTTGGACAATTATCGAAGCTGCGCGGATATAGCACCCTCGAGAGCAGTCCAAGAAAGCTCGAGACTGCCTATAGGATCCGTAATGAGTCACAGTGATTTAATTAAAAGGCCCGCTCCGGCTCGCACGTGTTGGGACTCGGGCGCGATATGTGCGATGCCGCGCGCTGCCCTCTCATAAATATACGCGTAACGCCGACTCGGATGCGAGAGTAAAGTTTGCACTTGGAGCTCGATGAGCGTACAGTATGGTTTTAGTTTACCATAGACTTCTTGACCTTTCACTCGCTGTATTGTGTACAGAGAACTCTACCTGTAGGAGATAACATGACTAGAGCTGCTCCTCGTGGTGGTACACAGAACTCTACCTGTAGGAGATAACATGACTAGAGCTGCTCCTCGTAACAGCTATAATGCGTTACACGAGAATAAACGATGTTACAAAAATTATCAAGTTATATTGCAAGTTTAAGACTGGCACAAATAATGTGAATACAGCGTCTGCGTTCAAGTTAAATTAAGATCTTTTCCGAGCGTTGCACTAGACCAGAGACAACTATTTTTATGGCGTAAATATTTGCCACGACGCGGTTACGCATACGATATTGAGAGTAGAGAGAAAGGACGAAGCGTATTAACTCAAGTAAGATACGCGAAAAATGTCTCTTACCACCAAGGAATAGCCAGGCTATTGCGACATTGTGGGGGGTGAGTCTCTGGAATTAAACGCAGCGAGGAATGTTTCTGTCCGACGTTATATTTGGCTTTAAATCATGTCTGGATCGGCGGATGAAAGAAGCGCGTGGCTGTAGGTCATCCCCAACTCTTGATCCGCAACCTTCGTATAATAATTCTCGCACAGGCATACACCAACACGCAAGAAAACACAAGCACGTGGGTGTGCGCGAGGATAGCTGCGATTCCCTCGTGCGCTTGTCAACTTATGAACTATCCCAGTTTTAGATATGTCGAGGGAAGGCTCGATACGCCAGGAAAGGGCGAAAGGCACTTTTTTCGTTCGTTTTGGATTTATCTGAGCCCGTGTGTTCGAGCCTAGACGTGTGTATGCGGCGTCGGGCTCCTGCTGCCTACAGTGTCGAACTACTGAGAAGCTCATAAGTCATGATTAATGACATTTCGATTGTTCCGTACCATGGACTTTGACTTATTGTCCTTGTTACAGGCAAAGAGTCCTCCGGGGAGATGCAAACTTCTGCTGTACGCATGTGTACGCGGGTGCGCGCGCCAAGATTTATAACCGAATTTTCATCTCGTGCTCATGAATTTAATCACTCTAAAGCGATATACCGTTATCAATTCATCGTTATTCATCAACGATTCCAATGCGCGACATAACTTTCCGGTTTGAAAACAGCATTCGTAATAAGATTGGATTAACTTCGATCCCGTGAATGTTGAAAGCATAAAAGCATTGACTTTTTTTCGGCATTCCGAACGACGATTTTTTCCGAGTCAAATACCAGTAGAGATGTCTTTTCACGCTCTACGAGTTGCACTTGCCTCCGCGGGAAACTGTATATATATACTCTTAACTACGAGATTAGTCTTAGCAGCACGATTTACGATGAAGGTCGCTTTCAAAAGCCACTAGATCTCATGTAAGAGCTTTTTCCTGTAAGCCGCAACCTCATCGGTCTTTTGACAAGCTCCTCGACTCTTGTTGGGGCATTGTAATTTTAAGAAATCTAACAATTGTCTTCACCCTTGGCCCGATACGCTAATGCTTCCTAATACGCTTGAGCGATACATACAATTTTATGATATTTGAAAATATGGAATCAAAATTTTTAACGTTTCAATCGATTTTTTGTTTCAGATATCGCGACGATGCGCTCTGCTGGACAGATCGGTAGGTTCCTTTTCATTGACGATCAAAAAGTTGTGTAAAAAAAACAGCTCTCTAATAAGACAACAAATTCTGCGCTTTAGCTTTAATTATTTATAAAAATATAAATTGTTTCATTGATAAAATAAAACATAGTGACTTATAGTAGATCGAAAATCGCGCGTGTGAGATAAAATTTCAACTCTCGAGCGAGAGACGTGCAGAAGCCAACTAAGAGATGAGTGAAGGAACGTAGAGAAAATAAGTGATAGATAGGGGCAGATTGACGCAGCGCGGATGTCATGCAATTCCATTGTTCGGTATATACATACATACACGCACGGAGGCTCCTATACACACGCAGACGCTGGCTTAACTACCGAGTTGAATAAAGCAAAGAAGCGACGAACGTAAATCAAGTAGCCGCGAGTCGAATCGTCATGCTCGGCGACCGATAGCTGTGGACATTCGTGAAGTAGACATGGACTAGTAACGCAACTTTTCAAAACAATGACTTACCAGCCTCTCTATAGGTTATTTTTACTATTTTCACTCGCCGATAAAACAATTGCACTCGCCCAAGCCAGCAATTTATTATACATGGCAGTCCACGAGAGCAAGCGTTAATGTACTCCACTTTCCAGCTGTATAATCATTGTATATTTTTAATCGACATAAATCTCGGCGAGCTCGACGATTTCAAATTTGCATAATTTTAATCACACGTTGAGTTTATCGATCGTTACGGGCAATATGACAAAGCTAATCATGATTCGATGCTTTAATTTGCGACACATGTACTTAACTTTAATGAAACGTTTTATTTTTCCGAGAGCAAAAATAAGGCAAAATACGAACAAATTTGAATAATTAATATGGATTAATGATATGAAATTACATGTATCTAAATCGAATCTCTATTCGCGAAAGTCGCAAAGAAGAAAGAGCAAATGAACAAACGAGTCGATGCGCGGCCGACATCAGCCGACAACAATTAAGCTGAGCCTGCGCGATGATCTCATGCCAAAATAATTTATTGCGCCCGTGTAATACGCGCGTTTATGAGAATGAAAACGAAGGAAGAAAAAAGGAGAGGAGGAAGAGAAAAGCGCTTGATCGAATGTAAAGCAATTTAATTACGCCCGCTTGCACAAGAGCTCGTACTCGACGATGAGCAGCTTCTTCGCCAGCTCTCGCTTAAATACTCTATTATCGCGCGCGAAAAAGAGAGCGACAAAACGTAAATGGACGGCGAGCTTGAAAAATTCGCGTGTCAGTATTAAGGAAAAAGGCAACTGAATGCGGAGCAGGAGCAACGGTAGCGGAGCAAAACTTGCGAGAGCTCTCGAGCTATCGACGAGCGCTGCAATCTGTACAACATATTATGTGTAGAGGGAGACCGACGCATAATTAATAGTAGCGCTTCGCCAAGACTCGACGCGAGAAGTCAAGGGGAATCTTTGACGCGTACAAACAAACTTTTAAACCTTGCCACAATTAACTGTAAGCGATCGAGCTCTAATTGAAAAACAGCCGGATCTTGCGTATTTTTCGATTCTACCTTGTGTATAAGTTTAGCTGCGTGTATAATTAATAACGTGCCAGGCCTTATCAGTTCGTGTGCTTTTTTTCAAGTACATTCGTTTTTCTCCCTTGCCCATCGAAGACTCCGAGACTTTTCTTCATAATATGCTTTTCTTCTATTCACTCCCAACACCTTCTCTCTCGGCTATTTCTCTTTTGGTGTTGCTTTTTTCCCCGTTTCTCCGCGGTAATGAGTTAGCATGCCGAGATAAAGTGTACTTCTCCCTCTCTCCACTCTGCGAGCCGACCAACATGCAGATAAGAGGGAGGCACGAAATTCAAATGAACCGAATTGGGAAGGAGGCACGACCGCGAGCCCTTCGAAGCTTTATCGGCCAAACCCTGTAATAGACTCTAAAATAGGGCGCGATGTGTTAAAAGTGGAAATTTTTATATAATTTATTTATTTATTCTTCATCCAACAGTTCGATTGAAGTATTACTGAAAGGTATTGAGAAAAAAAAGATAGGATGTATGTTGTAATTCGTATCAAAACAAACTTTGTAAGCTTCTGAATTATTGAGATCTGGTATACACGTACATTAAGATGTAAGGCACATAATATGTATGCATAAGAGTCGTACCAATACGTAATACGCATGCATTTATTTTTTAGGAAAAAGAAAAGTAAATTACAAGCATTGAACGAAATCATGGTGTTTCGCGAGTTCTCAGTCTCGCACAAATAATACATGTGATCAGAGCAGAGCGAAGAAAATCGAAAGAAGAGGCGATATAGAGTACTCGAGAAAAGGTGGCATATTGCGATATTTCGTTGGCATATCGCTAAGGCTTGCTCACGCATTGGGCGAGAAGCTCTCGATAAAATCGAGATGAGACGATAAGGTGAGCATCTCTGTCGGTCGAGCGTAGCGATCCGCAAATTGGGACTCGTAGCGACTCGATATGCGCTGCCGGTCAATAATTATATCGAGGTCCGAGCTGCAGCATCCATTAAGCGAGCGGCCGCCACCGCCGCAGCCGCGCGCATCTACCTACCTACCTACCTACCTATCTTATACCTACCTGTCCGAGTGTGCATTGCAGTGCCGAGTAGGCCGTCGCGCAAAGCTCGTACCTTGATTGATCAGTGATCGTTTATCGATGTAAACGTCCGAGGCACCGTACACACGAGAAGCAGCAGCAGCAGCAGGGCATATTACACGTAAGATAGCCACCATCTTCTCTCCTCAACCTCTCCTTTGCTGCGCGCACGTTCTGCGCTGCTTACGTTACGGATCGCGCGAGCATCTCGACAAAAAGTGGAAAACCTTGGGACTTTTGTTAGCATAGCCTGGCTTTTTTCGCCTTCCCTGAAAAATTGAGGTGCGATACATCAGTTTGCACTCGCTGCGCCGATCAGATATAGTCGCAATAAATGCGTTTCATCTATCTCGATCGATCGCCGATAGATTTTTGTTTGATTTGCCTTCGAATGATTACCTAATACAAAAAGGATGCTACATTTTCCATACTATAGCCGATAATCTACATTATTTTTCATCCCACATGGTATAGCTTATTCAGAGATAGTGGTAGTAGTAGAGTAAGCTTCTTGGAAGCGCGCACGACTTAATTTTACGCATATAGGTGCATTATATTTGATTGCCATGTATATTCACACGATATTAAAATGAGCGCAGACTATTTTTACCAGGGTAAAAGTTCTCGAAGAACGTAATTACGCCGAAGGCGATGCGTTGTTACGATATTAACACGTTGTTGATCAAATATCGATTCACATCTTGCGCATGGCCGTCTATCGATTTGAAGCGCGCATCGAAGTATCGTCGGATAAAATCCTGAAAAATGATCGAAAGAAAAGAAAAGTAGTGATTTGAAAAATGTCGGGAATTAGTGCTGCGTTGCGGAACGTAAGACGCTCGAATTTAATAATCCCGTGTAATTAAATACTTTTTCCTTAAATTACAATCGCATAAAACGATCGTTTCAATAACGGTGAACATTTCTTTCAATCATTCCAAAAGCAAATTATGAGAAGCGCGCGCAGTATAGAAGAGAGAAAACAGTCCCGATCCGGCCGGCCGGCGAGTGCACGAGCGGCACATAGCGATAACCGCAGTCCACGATCCGCAAATCACTATCCGCATTCGAACTTTCGAATACCGATGCTTCTCACGTATCGAGGTAATGACTTATAATCGTAGTAGCACTCAGGAGTGCGCTGATGCTTCTGTGCCACTGCAATGACAGTGTAAATAGTGAGTCTGGCGCACGGCAGCGGCGGCCGATCGGCTAAAGTAATAAACGCCGGAATCGCGAAAAAGAAATGAAAATGAAGGGAGTTATCATTAAGCGCTACATAAAGATGAACGAGCGCAAAAAGCTCAACGATCATTTGAGCCCTGAATTCTCAACGATCCGATCATAAGTCAATCTGTATACTCCGCGCTGTGGCTGCAGCACATTCGCTCATAGTACGCACGTAGACGTAAGAAAATAGAATAATACGTGGAACCTGTGTTTTCTCAACGTGTGCGCCTCTTATCGCATGCGCTTGTGCGTGTGCATACGCAGCGACATACATTTTGACCAGGAATCATCGAACAGATGCTTTACTTATTGGATTGAAGAAAAAGGGACTGCATTCCGCATAAGCGTATACATGCACCCAGGCAGTGGGTATAATGAGCAGCGCAACTCGAGGTTTGTTCTCATCATCGTTTCTGCCTTGGACTCTGATCGCTCCAATGCATCAGTAGCATTGTACTTTTTTTATAACTTAGATCAGTCGAGGTTTCTTCTCTCTTACAGTCCCTCATCTCAAAACGTTTGTTTATATATGAGCTGCACTTCTTCATTTATTGCTATTTTTTCACTTAGATTTTATTTTATGCAATGCCTACCCCTGATAAACACATTACAATAATGATTTTTCATGGAAGCGAACTTAGCGTCGTTAACTGTATGAACAGCTTCAGTGGCCATTAGGATCAGCTCAGAAACAATTTTATTTCAATGCATCAGACCCGTGATTTATCGTGCATAAGCACCACATTTTCCAACACTCACAAAGTTTAGACCGTTTATCGTGAAAGTTCTGCAAGACTGTAAAGCAAAACTTCAAATTTAAATTTCGAATTGGTCGTGCTTGAACGATCTGAGTAGTCAGTACTTTGATGGAAAAAATGGGTGGATTATTAAGTATTTGCTCGGATTTGCTGTTAAAATTGGATAATTCACGTGTTATTCTCTTGTACCACGCAATTTTTCAAAATCAAAAATCCACAGTGTAGCGTCAAGAATTGTTCAATTCTCTATTGTAAAAACCAAGTAAATTTAGAGTAATACACTTATTTTTTCTATCAGTATAGATATATCTAATGAGCTTTTAGCATGTCGACAGATTTAAATTAATTATAAAGTTGTGCTGAAGAATTTATGACTTTAACTTAATTAGTATATAATTAAAGTTTTTA